GCGATCAGGTCCTGGTGGAAAGCCCTTTTGGATGGCAGATCGGCATGCTGCTGTTAATCTTGCATCGTCCCCCGTGACGTTTGTACCTCTGCTGGATACTGGTGGCTTTCTTTGTCCTTTTGACTTTGACAATGTCTGCAGAAGTTGCTTGGCCCCTAAACTGAAAGAATATTTTCCCCTCCATGGTGCTTAATACAGCCCTTGTAAACCTAGTATGTGTGATGCTGCTGCCCTCTGCTGTCAAGAAATTGCCTGCCTTAGGGTGGATTAACATACGTATGTGCCTAGGTATTAATTAATGCATGGGGTCTTGCCTTTTACTTCCATCCTCATGTCATCTCTAGTCGTCCTTGGAGGGCATTGCTTTCCGACATAGCAGGCTAAGGAAAAAAAAAATCACTCTTCTCAAATCCACCCAGTGCTTTGGACAATGTAGCATCTATCTCAAGAAATTGTCGTCGTCATCATCACCATCATCTTAGAAATGCAGAGTTGGAAGAGACCCTATGGATCACTGAACGCAGCCCCAGCCATGGAGAAACGGTGGGGAATCGAACTCCCAACCTCTAAGTCACTGATCTATCCAGCAGTGAACTATCCTTCCCCCAGCAAGGAAAAACTAGGAGTTGGCTAGCTATAGAAGAATTCAGTCTGTATGTGATTTCATTTCCTTCTGAACTGAAAGAGGTCTCAGTGAGAGAGGCTGTGCTCAGGGCGCACACCTTGTTGCCTTTGATTATCAGGTTTTGCAGGCTTGGGGATGGCTTTGTGTTTCTAAGAAAACCTTTGCTTCACCTCCCCCACTTATAAACAATACTTTTGACTACAGCTCCCAGAACCCCCAAATTGCATAACTCGTAGCTGTGGCGGCTGGAGCATTTTTGAGTCGTGGTTCTAAAAATGTAACTTTCCAGATTCTGCTCTAGCCTGTGATGCTATGGTTTGAGGGCGGAATCAGGTGAAGGGGGAAATAATGAAATGTGATTAGGAATGGGTGGGTAGCATTCATTCTAGGCTAGATAATTCTTTGGTTGTAAATTGGTATCTGGCTGCAGAGTCAGAGGTTGGGAGTTTGATTCCCCCACTGTACCTCCTATGAGCAGAGTCAGCCTCTGTAGCTTTGGGCAAGCTGCACAGTCCCAGGGCACCCCCAGAAGAAGGGAGTGGTAAATCACTTCTGAGTATTCTCTACTTGAAAAACCCTGAAAAAGGTCAGAATTGACTTGACAGCACATGATTATTAAGTCCCCGAAAAAACCCTCCTGATTTTTCTGACCTCTGATCTTCAAAGAGAAAAGATGATTCAGAAATATTTAAACAAACAAACAAACATCTGTGTTAGATATTTCCATAAGCTGGAATGTGTCCAGAGGAGCTCAGCAAAGACGATGAAGGATGTGGAGGTCATGTGCGATGAGAACAGGCTGAAGGAGATGGGGATGTTGAGTCTGCAAAAATGATAATGTAATAATAATTTTGTGCCATCAAGTGGATTGTGGTGACCTTCCCAGGGTTTTATAGGTAGAAAAAATGCTCCGAAGATGCTTTTTTTCCAGATGCTTTTTTCTGGTGGCATCCTGGAACTGTGCAGGTTTCCCAAGGCTGCCCAGGTGGCAGGGCAGATACTGCCATCAACCACACACATTTCAAGTGTTCTTGGCTGGCCCATCTCCTTGGAAGCTCAGCGAGGATTCAAACTCCAAGTCCTAGCTCCACAGTCAAAGGCTCCAACCTGCTGAGCTATATTGATACATCATAATCATAATTGTAATCATAATCATCATCATCATCATCATCATCATGTGCCTTCAAGTCAACTCTGATTTATGGTAACCCTTTCCATAAAGTTTTCTAGGTAGTGCATACACAGAATTGGTTCACCCTTCCTCTTCTTCTGGAGGTGCCCTCAGACTGTGCAGCTTGCCCAAGGCCACACAGGCTCTACTTGCAGGAGGCACATTGGGGAACTTCTGGCTCTGCTACCTGATACTTAAACCACTGAGTCATCCAGCCAGCCATCATGATATGGCATAAGCAACCCCAAATGTCTGGAGAGTCATAGTAGTTGTTTTGACAGAAACCATCCCATAATGCTAAAGCACTCAGT